CCACACCCCACACAGCCCACACCCCACGCAGCCCACACCCCACGCAGCCCACACCCCACACCCCACAGCACACCCGCACTCACACAGCACAGGTCTCACACACATGTGCTCACAGATCCACTAGGATCTCTGGGAGCAGAAACGTGTGCCAGTGTCCTCTGAGAAAGGGGCCAGGTGGCCTGGGGCAGGGACTTTCCTGTGTATTCTTTCAAGCTTGTTGAACCATAAGCCACGTGACTATCCCACAGACTTCTAAATACTCAACTAATGACTTCTTTTTTGGTACCAGTGATTGAACTCAGGGCACTCGGCCCCTAAGGCACACCCCCAGCCCACTGTGTATTTTATTTAGAGACAGGGTCTCACTGAGCTGCTTAGTGCCTCGCTTTTTCGAAGGCTGGCTTTGAATTTGCGATCCTCCTGCCTCGGCCTCCCAAGCCGCTGAGATTACAGGTGTGCCACCAGACCCAGCCTCCCCAGCCCTTTGTTATTTTGAGACAAGGCTTTGCTAAGTTGCTTTAGGGCCTCACTAAGTTGCTGGCTGGCCTTGAATTTGTAATCCTCCTGCCTCAGCCTCTGGAGTCTATGAATACAGGGGTAACCACCGCGGCTAGCTAAGACGTGTCTGTCGCTCACCTCCCTAGTCTATGCCATGATGTTCCAAGTGCCCTCTGTGTGACTCCTCCCCGACTAGAATGCTGCCTTCCCACCCCCACCCCCAGCCATCCTTCCTACAGACCCTCCGGCTCCTCTCCCTGGTCTCTTTGCCCAGCGCCATCTGCCCATGTCACAGGAACAGACAGGAGACCAGGGCTCAGGAACAGGGGTGGGGGGGTGGGGGGCCCTCCCCATGCCCCACTTCCATAATCACGTGCGGCTGCCAGAGTTAAGAAACAGTCGGCCAGGAGCAGAAAAACAGAGTCACCACGTGATCTAGCAAGCCCACTCCCACCAAMGTCCTCAGTGGGAAAAAACTTACGTCCAGACTGGTACACCCACGTTCACGCTCACAACAGCCAAGGACTCAAATGCCCCAGACACCCATCAGCAGTTGGGTGGGCAGCAGACGTGCTGCACCCACACAGGGCACGTCACTCAGCCATAAAAAGGAAAGCAGCGTGGCGCACACTACAGCAGGGATGGCCACGTGCCCAAAGACCCCAACACAAAAGGCCGCTCAATTCTGTGCACACAGAAAGCCCAAGAGACACAAGGCCATGAGAGTAAGGCAGACAGACGTGGACA